GTTCAGTTTGCTATAAAACTGCCATTCTCTGGGTCTCAAATTTATCATTTAAATGCAAATTGGTATGAAAAAACAGGGTAGATGAAAGCAAAAAGAGATCGGATGTTATCTTATTAAGACAGCTTTGCATTAGGCAATTGATTTAGACTCATTTCAAACTGCAGTCCTGTGAGATAGTTTTATTTATTTATTCATTTTCTTTTCTTTATTAAGGCTACTATATCAGGAAAATCATAAAATGGGTTTGAAAAGCATTCTCTCACTTCACAGCCCAAGAGAACCATAATGCTAATTTGGAATCTATTGATAGATTCTAATAAGTGAAACCTCAAGCATTGGAAAGAAATTGACAATTTCCTAGACCCGTGGTTCATTGGCTTTCAAGGGCTATACTTAAAATTTGCATCATTACAAATATCATCTCCTGGGAAGAGTGCCTTCGATTAGAGAATAGTCCAAAATCAAATATCAGACCTATGGATATGTGGAAAACATTAGTGAGTCAGAAGCTTTCATTGAGTTTGCTTCAAATAAACCCAATGGTAGAGATTATTTATGGTGTGCTATCCTTGGAATTAAAGTTAGAAATATTAAAATGTCAATTAAATAATTATTGGTATGATTAATAATTTCAGATGGTTTAAAAGTATTACTGTTTTCCTATTTCCATCACTATGAACTATTTATCAAATACAACATTATGTACTACTTCATAAACACTACTTATGGGAGATACTAAAGTAAGACCTTGTGTTCTTTGTCTATTCTCAAGGGTCCAAATTGGACTATGGGAAAATACATACATAAAAATTCTGTTTAGTGCAGAAAGTTCTATAACAGGAAGCCAAGTGAGGTCACTTTTGGGAGTAAAGAGGGGTAGATCCATTGGAACTGCTGTCAAAAGCCTCAAAATGGAGATTCTAAATCTTGGCTGCAAAATAGAATAACATTTGGAGAATTTTTAAAAATTATGATGTGCAGGCATACCCTAGGACCATCAAATCAGAATTTCTGGGGAAAGAACCTAGGCTTCTGTATTTTTTAATGCTCTCCTAGTCATTCAATTGGGTACCCAAGGTTGAGAACTATTGCCTTGAAGAATAAACCGGGTTTACAACTGTGTGGGAATTGTTCTTTGACTATGTCTGACTTAAGCAAGATTTAGCCTCCAGCAGTCAAATGCTTCAGTGATTTTAAGTGGTACATGTGCAAGGCATTAAGTAATTCTCTGTCACTTAAGGAGAAAATTATTCTTTTTTTCCCCTCCACTTCTCTTTCTATTATTTGATGATTTCAAGGAGAAAGTCTCTGTTGCAGGTGGATCTTTAATACATCTCTGTCCTTACTTATCTCTCTTTCAAATCAAAGAGAATGCAGCACTCAGGCCCAGAACCTTCATCTAGTATAGTATAACCTAGAATTTAATGACAGTTTCATTTTTATTTATTTATTTGTTTTTATTTATTTATTAAGATTACCTTTCGGCAAGTAATATTTATTTAAATATGAAATTTTCTTTTAAAATAAATTTAAATAAAGTGAGTAAATTTAAATTAATATAACATAAATAATAGTATACATTATACTCATATATGGATAAAGTCACAAAGGTGGTTCTCAGATGTCTATGGTTTGGGCAAGCCTAGCATTTAGGTAAAGGGCATCCAAACGTCATGTCATGAGTTTTGGCTCTAAATATGCCTCCATCACTAATTATCTTTGTGATTTGGGGGAAATTACCCATTCTCTTCCCTGGGCCTTGGTTTCCTCATTTGTTAAACAAGGCCATTAACCTATACTGCTGGCATTCTTCTATGAGTTTAGGAAGCAAGGAGGGCTTGCCCTCTGAATTTACCTTGTTGACATCCAGGCGCATCTTCTCATTGTTGGCACTAGCAGCCCTCTCGGCTGCTTTCTTTTGGCGTTGGGGTCCCCTCCCAAAGAAGATGTAGTTGACCAAAGCATATTCCAGAAGGGCCATGAAAACAAAGACAAAGCACCCCATCAGGTACATGTCAATGGCCTTCACATAGGGGATTTTAGGGAGAGTCTCCCGGAGGTGGGTATTGATCGTGGTCATTGTAAGAACAGTTGTAATTCCTGAAAAAAATGAGAGAGTTAGAGTAATAATG